ACCTGTAGAGGGCGCTGCCCAGCTTGGCCTGCCTGTGTTCACTTAGGCTCTTTGGAGACCTGTAGGGGGTTTCTCCCCTGCATGTTTAAGCATGTGCTCTGACAGCAGGCTCTGGAGGGGAAAGCCCTTCCAACAGACGCAGCAGCTGTTCTGTGGCAGGCATTTGTGTGCCGGTCCATCTCACAGTTCCTGCCAGCCCTGGGTGGTCTGGGCTCTCTCCTCAGCTCCATCTGTGTTTTAAGGTCACTCTCAGATTTCTACCTGGTGGAGTGTTTGTGGTCATGTTGCACTCAGAATCCCCAGTTCCTGAGAGGATGCCTGGATGATGCTTGCTATATCCAGTGGCTTGCAGCACGTGCTCCCTCTGTTGGTTGGTGGTTTCCTTCTGGGCTTATCTCAGCAAATGGGTTCAGGGGATGCCCAGAGCAGGCAAGGAACTGGTACTTAAGGGTCTTGGGTGTGCTTGATTAAGACAGGTGTGAGCACATCACTAGATGAAAACGGAAACTCGGCATGTCGTTTCTTTGTGTTCTGTAAAATTCTGCAATTGTGAAGTGTGTGTGTGTGTGACAGAGAGAGAGAGAGAGAGAGAGAGAGAGACAGAGACAGAGAAAGAGAGACAGAAACAGAGACACGAAGGGAGGGAGGGAGGGAGGTAGGGGAGGGGAAAGTGTCTTGGCACCATATTCCGATCTGTACCAGACATAGGCACATAGGCAGCCAGGGTTGGGTGGCTGTCATGTAGTGGGTAGGACTCAGGAAGAAACCTGTTTCTTATTCTCTGGTGGGTGGATAGGTGTAGAATTGGTGTGCTCATACAGTGTGTGGACTTACAAGAAGGGTTGAGCATCTTTTGGTCATTGTTAGGGCTAGAGTTTGAATCTGACCCATGAGGACACAGTGAGCCAGGAAGGAGACCACACAACCTTTTGGTTGAAGGCCTCCTTCCTGCAGTTAGGACTCAGTACCGTGGCTGCAGCTTGGGGTTCCTTGGAACATAGGAAGGAAACTGTAGGCTGGGCCAGCTAAGCCTGGTAGCGTGATCTGTGGCTGTGCCGTAACCAGCAGTTGCACACAGAGACGGGGAGCTGCCACAGCCGCGGGACTTGGGTGTTCCTGTATTCCTAGTGGGGGGCTTGCCTCCCCAGTGGTGAAACCAGCTGTGTGTTCTTCAGCTCCTGTCAGCTGTTCACCCCTGAGGTGCAGGGACCCTGGGCTCCAGATCCAGCCAGACTCCACCTCCATCTTTTACTCTGACCCTCTGCCCTTTATTGCCTTACATCCTCTTGTGCAGAAATCTGCATTTCTCCATGCCTATAAACGGTGTTTCTGTAGTTTTTCTGAAAGATTTACTCTTTTGGTGGGATTGTGGTAGAAGTTACTTCCTTTAGCATGAACTATTAGTTTTAATTACGGGGCGAAGGGCTCGGCGTTCACCTGTTTGCTTTCTGTGAGCAAACTTTCTCTTAGGTTCAGATTGGTTTTCATGGTGGAGTATGTAGGACTGACCACAGGCAATACTGTGCGCTCGATTACACGGGATGCTGTATTTACGGGGCTTTTGTCTCTGTTACAGGTGCTTGCTGCTGTCTGCTACATCCCAGAATATGCACCCACTCATCGCAAGTACCTCTCTCCCCTCTGGGCAGCAGGAGCCCCTCTGAAAATGGAGAGATAAGACCCACCTCCAGGCCCTCACGACACAAGGCTGTGCTCTGACACCCACATCGTCCTAATGGATCGCAGCAGAGAGGCCGAGATGGAGCTGAGGAGAGGACCCAGCCCACCCAGGGCTAGCAGGAACCATGAGGTGGATGTAGACAAGGCTGCATGCCACAGCTGCTGCATCTGTGGCAAGAGCTTTCCGTTCCAGAGCTCGCTGTCACAGCACATGCGCAAGCACACGGGAGAGAAGCCCTACAAGTGTCCCTACTGTGATCATAGGGCTTCCCAGAAGGGCAACCTCAAGATTCACATCCGCAGCCACCGTACAGGGACTTTGATTCAGGGGCACGAGCCAGAGGCAGGCGAGGCTCAGCTGGGTGAGATGCGTGTCTCTGAGGGCCTGGATGGGTGTGCCAGTCCTACCAAGAGCACCTCAGCCTGCAACCGCATGCTGAACGGGGCTGTGCCGATGGACAACAGCAAGATCCTGCTCAGGAGCAGCCGTAAGGAGGCGGAGGGGGCGGCCGGTGCCCAGGAAGATGCGGAGGCCATGGTGCAGTGTTCCTTCTGTAAGAGCCGGTTTGAACGGAAGAAAGACATGGAGCTGCACGTGCACCAGGCCCACAAGCCGTTCAAGTGCAGGCTGTGCAACTTTGTCACCTTACGGGAGGAGTCTCTGCTGAGCCACATCGAGAGGGACCATATCACCGCACAGGTGCCCAACGGCGGTAGCGAGGCCTGTGTGGAGAATGGCAAGCCCGAGCTGAGCCCCGGGGAGTTTCCATGCGAGGTGTGTGGCCAGGCCTTCAGCCAGACCTGGTTCCTGAAGGCGCACATGAAGAAGCACCGGGGCTCCTTCGACCACGGCTGCCACATCTGTGGCCGGAGATTCAAAGAGCCTTGGTTCCTCAAGAACCACATGAAGGCCCACGGACCCAAGGCAGGGAGCAAGAACAGGCCCAAGAGTGACCTGGACCCCATTGCCACCATTAACAATGTGGTGCAGGAGGAGGTCATTGTCGCGGGCCTGTCCCTCTATGAGGTCTGCACAAAGTGCGGGAACCTGTTTACAAACCTGGACAGCTTGAATGCCCATAACGCCATACACCGCAGAGTCGAAGCCAGCCGGACACGAGCCCCGGCTGAGGAGGGGGACACGGAGGGCCCCCTGGACACCAAGCAGTTCTTCTTACAGTGCCTGAACCTGACACCATTCGTGGCTGGTGACGTGTCCCCCAGCGGGCAGGCTGGACGGCGGGTGGCTGAGTTGGACCCCGTCAACAGTTATCAGGCCTGGCAACTAGCCACCAGGGGCAAGGTGGCCGAGCCGGCCGAGTACCTCAAATATGGGACCTGGGATGAGGCGCCGGCAGGGGATGTCGCCTTTGACAAGGACAAGCGTGAATATATACTGGTGAGCCAGGAGAAACGCAAGCGTGAACAGGACACCCCTACTACCCAGGGCCCCCCCAGGAAGAGGGCCAGTGTACCTGGGGACCCCATGCTTTCTGGCCACCTTGACCCCCGGCCGGCCTCACGTCCCAACCGCAGGGCTGCGGCAACTACTGGCCAGGGCAAGTCCTCCGAGTGCTTCGAGTGCGGCAAGATCTTCCGCACCTACCACCAGATGGTGCTCCATTCCCGTGTGCACCGCCGCGCACGCCGGGACAGGGATCCTGAAGGGGACAGGGCAGTGCGCGCCCGCTGTGGCTCACTCAGCGAGGGGGATTCAGCTTCCCAGCCAAGCAGCCCTGGTTCAGCCTGTGCCATCGCTGACTCCCCAGGCTCTGGGCTGGCCGAGGAGGCGGTGGACGACAGTGGTGAAGAGGCCGTGCCTGAACCCGCACCAGGTGAGCAGGTGGACGTGGGTGTGTCAGGTTCCAGTAGTCACGGAACCCTTCTCCAGCTGCCCTTGTATTCAGGCAGTCTTGCTCCAGGGATTTGCATCCTCAGGTGCATCTATGCTTTGGTGACCTTGTACCCTATTTGAGTCCTGTATCCAAGTGGTCATGAATTCGGGCATCCTACACCTAGTAGTCCTGGAGTTTGCAAAGGTGCAGCTGACACTGTCAGGTCCTCTACTCTCTCCTTTTTGCTGCTCACCTACAAATGCTGCAGTAATGCACACAACTGGCTTCTTGAGTCTATGGTCTCTTCTGGGTGTCTGGATTCTCTAAGGCTTGAATCCCAGACTCCTATGAAATGGCTTTGTCGTCTCTGCTTCTATCAGAACAGAGTTCTCACTGTATGACACCAATATACACACGCTTGTGCATGCTCCACATGCACACAGAGAGACACTGCATATAAACACTCAAAACATACACATACTTGTTCATGTGCAAAACATGTGCATATATCTACACATGTGTATATCATATACATACATGACACACATTCATGGAAACATGTCATAGGTAGTGTGACCCCACAGGCTCATGTATGTGAATGGTCAGTCATCAGGGAGTGGCACTATTTGAAAGGGACTGGAAGGGGTGGTCTTATTGGAGTGGGTGTGGCCTTGTTGTAGGAATTGTGTCACTGCGGGTGGGCTTTGAAGTTTCAGAAGCTCATGCCAGGCCCAGGCTCTCTCTCTTTCTCTCTTCGACCTGTGGTCAGGATGTAAAGCTCTCAGCTCCAGTGCCATGCCTGCCTGAATGTCACCATGCTCCCGTTATGATGGTAGTGGATGAGATCTTTCAGCTGTAAGAAAACCTCAAAACCAATGCTTCCTTTTATAAGAGTTGCTGTGGTCACAGTGTCTCTTCACACAACAGAACAGTGACTAAGACAGATAGACACTGCAAACACACGTATACAGGCACACATGCATATACATAAACGTGGATAATGTCCATGTGTACACATCACATTCGGACATACCATATATCCACAAATACACACTTACTCTGCACAAACAGACATATACAAATGTACATAAATATGGACATGCATACATCATACAAGCATGGAGACACTACACATAGACACTTCAGGCACACATATAAAAACACATGCATATACACAAAGCCTGCATGTACACACACATACATATATCACACAAATGCAAGGAAGCACAAATAGACACAGAAATACACATATTACTTGCTTATGCCCAGTAAACACGCATGCATAAGCACACATAAACATGTACACACCATATGCACAAACATAGCGAAATCATAAAACACAACATGCATTATATGTAGAGATCATAAACATAACACTTGTTGATGCATAGTCATACATGCCCACATATCACATATTTAGCATGCACTGCACACGTCATGAGCTTGTTCTTGTGTGCGCGCGCGCGCGCGCGCACACACACACACACACACACACACACACACACTCTACATGCTCATGTACACTCACTTTCCTCTTCTCCTCTCTTAGTGCCAGACATCTGGGTGAAAGACTAACTTAGAATCTCTGTGTAGTTATAATTAATCCCCTCGGATTCAGGTAACCCTGTGGGCTTAGAGACTGTTAATTGGAACAGATTTCTTTTCAAATAGCAGCCATAAAACTGTTTCCAGATCCCTGCGTTGACATTTTCATAATTTTCCCATTTTTAAAATAAATTTTGAGGATTTTGGTGTTGCCTTTGTTGTTTGCCATGGGCAGTTGCCGTGAAGGGAAGGCGGTGCTCGAGGCGTGGAACCTGGGGCTGCACGTGGGATGCTCTGTGGTCTCGCAGCCAGGGAGACTCTTGCTTTTACTTGAAGTTGGGCACTCACAGTCAGAGGCGCCCGTGGCAGAGCTGTTGTGTCTGCAGCAGGGAGGAAGGAGGGCCTGCATGCTCTCCTTAGACAGATGCTCCTCTTCCCTGCTCGGGGCTCACATTGTTAGATTTATGCACTGTGCTACATACCCGACTGCTGCACTTACATCCACTGAGGCATCAGACCTGGGCACAGAAGCCGTTTGGGGAATTCTGTGTGGAGTCTGAGCATCCGCAGGGACTAGAGAACCAGGACAGCATGCTGCCTGTCAATCTCATCGTTCCTGGAGCTGGTCACTCATCTCCAGGGAGGGGTAGGGGAACAGGTGTTCATGAGACGGGAGGGCTCATTACCGAGGCTCTTCTGTATTCCTCTGGCAGCGTAAGGTACAAAGTCTGATAAGCTGATGGCAGCCCCGGGTTGGCCTTTTTGAACTTTAATCTCTCCCCTTTATTTTGTATACCTGTGAATTTTACTGGCAGTGTTCTGATAACACCAACCATTTTGTCGTGTGTGCATCTTGGGTAAAATATTAGGGAAACGCTGTATCTTTTTTTCCACCATGAGGAGAAAAATTTGTTTTTGTAACATTAGGGATCAAACCCACGGCCTTGGGTGTGGGGTGAGCACTTCCCCAGTGAGTGACGTTGTCATTGTCTTTATTTTTTGAGACCAGATCTCACGGAGTAGTGGAGGCAAGTCTTGAACTAACTCTGTACCCAAGCTGGCCTTAAACTTTCAATCCCCCTGCCTCAGCCTCCTGAGTAGCAGAGGTTACAGGCTTTCACCGCCCCGTCAGAGAGGAAAGCTTTGGACTCTAACTCCCATCCTCTTTGAGGAAGTGTGCTGAGGTCCATTCAGAGCCAGGCGGCCGCTGAGCAAGATGAGCTTGGCTTTTCAAAGGTTTAAGTAAATACTTAAAAAAGTCATCTCTGTGTGCCTGCCTGTCTGTATGTACACCCTGCCCACGGAGTCCAGAAGAAGCTGTTAGAGCTCCTGAAACGAGTTATGAGTGGTCGTGAGCTTGTAAGATGCTAAGGATCGAGCTCTTGTCCTTCGCAAGAATAGCCTGTGCTTTTAAGCACTGAGCCGTCTCTGCAGCCATACTTCAAAACATTTACCCCCTTGAGTTTATCAAGTATCAGAGACCGTTGCCTCCTTTACAGAAGACTGTGAGAATTTCCACCAGTAAAATGAGACAGTGGCTGGTGCTGGCCCTGCGCTTACCATTGCCTGAGGGTGAGCCTGAGCTCCTCCTCCTCCGCCCTTTACCTGCTCAGTGCGGCCATGGTAGGCGGTCACCTCCACAGCACGGCCATGCATTACTGGGTGTCGAACCCCGAGGGTTTGTGCCTGCCGGGCAGACACACTCTACCACTCAGCCACATCTCCAACCAGACTCTTAAAAAAGAAATTAGCTATTATCTGTCTGTCTTTCTGTCTGTCTATCAAGATATAGATGTATATTTTCCCATTGTCCTATAAATAGCATGTTATATTTGATTTTAGCTGTGGGAGCAGAGAGATGAGGTTGCACCCATTAGTAAGGAAGAAGAGAGATGTTTGTGTCAGTGTCTCTGTGGGAGCATGACAGTGTTGCAGAGTCTCGTGGACCTGCTGATGTCACTTCCTGTGATTTCCAAGGACAGTGTCTTCCCACCTGAATGCCTAGGATTCTGCTCATAGGAGCGCTTGGTGTGTAACTGAGTTATGGGGTCTTGGCTGCTCCTGAAGGAGACAGGTGTCACCGGTCATATCACGTGACTCCTTTCACCCTGTTGGGAAGGTCTGCTGAGTCTTTTGGACCAGCTGTTTTCGAAAAGAAAACTTTGAATCCTGGCGTCTGCATGGTGTCCCTTTCTTGCTCTCTCTTTTTTTCCCCCAAACATGCACAGAACTTTGGAAAATGCTCGTCTATCTTGCTATTAGGATTGCAAGTCTTTAAATAAAGTATTTTATATTTCCATAAGACATCAACGGAATGTCCAGCTAGCATTTAGAAATCAATGATACAGAGAGTGAAACTCTTAACGAGGGCCAGCCTAACATGGCTGTGTTGAAATTAGCATCCAGATCTCTGCTAATTTCATTAAATACCATTTGCTCTGTAGTTTTACCCAAGTAGCAGTTTTGACATCCAAGGGTTTATGTGGGTGCTGCTTTCTGGATCTGCCTGTAGGGGGCTGTCTTGCTCATGGTGGTTCCTTCTGAACATGGCTGGACCAGACAGCCAGCATCCCTGACACATGTATTAGTGTGTCATCGACCTAAGAGTCATGGAAAGCTGCTGAACTGGGCTGTTGAGAAGTGACTCAGCACAGTTAGAAACCGTGTATTTGAAAATCGCAAAAGTTTGCATTTTTAATAGAGGTACAGGGTATATACTTAACTATCTAAAACCCTAATATTTATCTGCAGAAGCACAGCCAGGAGCTCAGAAAACCGCCATTTATAATGATAGACCTCAGGTCAGTAGGTGAGAAGGACGCCGTGCAGAACACAGTGACTAGCAGCACTTGAAGGGATTACACGCGTGACAAGGGTCCTCTCTTCAGGAGTATTTGGAGTTAGGCCATCCTGACCTGCACTCCCTGAGCTGAGAAGCTGGGCCTGCATGGACCAGTGCGGTCGTCACAAGTATTCAGCATGCTTTTCCTGTGAAGCAGCTATGGTCCCGCTCTGCTGTTCACATACCACTACATTAGAACGAATGTGACCGTCCTTGTTCTTGTCTGTGTCTGTTGTGCTGGACACATGTGTGTGTCACCTGCTTGGAGCACCTGACCTTGTATTGTCATTGGATCATCCTAGGTTGGATGTGTGCTGAGTGTGGAGGTGGCAGTTAGAAATAGGCCATTGGGAGCTCTGCTGTTAAGTTCCTATTTGATCTGAAAATGCAGCTGTGTTCTCCTCCCACCCCTGTGGGCCACCCACCCCTACCAGTTTATACAGACTGGGATTACACATGCTTAAGCTGCTGCCTCTGGCTTTCCTGTGAGATCTGGGAACCCGAAGTCAGGCCTTCAGGCTTGTGTGGCTGGTGCATCATCCACTGAACTGTCTCCCCACCTGCAGGGCTCTTTAAGGAAAATCTGCTGGTTGTTCCTGGTCGTGTCAGGAGA